CAGAATTCTCTGGTTATTGGCCAAGTTTTGGAGCCACTGATAAGTCGAGGGAAAGTCCTGCCATCCCCAAACCCCAAACTACCAAATGTGAGACTATAGGATGTTAGGATCCCTTGAAGAGCCGCTCCACAGAGGGAGACTTTCCTGAAATGACCTGAAACTAGGGCTCCACAGAAGCATAGCTCGGAGAGATGTGCTGGGACCAGTAATGAAATCGGTGGTTCTGAGCCAATCTATACAACCTCCTCCAGAAATCCTAGCCATTGCAGGGAAGACAGAGCAGTGGGAAAGAAGAAAGGCAAGGGCTGGTCATGGAGATGTTAGAAAGGAGAGGCATGGGGAAACTGCTAGAAGAACCTTCTGTTGGCATTATAGCGAACAGGCTGTTTCATGAAGTCAATTGATCATCACTCAAGTTTCAAAACAACTGACTGAGAATGGATGACTTCACTGGGTGTTGAAAACCTGTGAAGATGACAACACCCACCAACAAATCATTGCAGGGAAGCAAGGAATGAGCACATTGTCACCACCAACTGGATACACAGTAGCCCAAAACTTGATGAAACATGGCAAGTGTTGAATTATTGTGGACCAAAGAAGCTATCAACACATCTCTCTATGTACATTATTCTTCCAATGAGCTTTCCTATTGTATTTTTATCCTTCTAACAATGTATCCATGCTTCTAGTGGTAAACACACACACACACACACACACACAATACCAGCCCACCCTCTCCTGTACTATGGGGCAGTATACGTATAAATATAAAAGCACACATTTCAGAAATATTATCCTCTAGAAGAGCTTCCAATTTCAATTCAACATAATCACAGATCAATTCCTTCCGCATAATGTTGACATGTCAATACGTGTGTGTGTGTGTGCATGTGTGTGTGCATGTATGTGTGTGTGCAAAATGCAAGCATGTGTATGTATGTCTGTGTTTTAGGACACTGCATTCACTAGTTTGATTTTCTAGACCCTCCAGTTAAGTCCGTTGTTTTTACTCCTTGCTCCTTGGTCACTCAGCTGAGAAGTCCTCACCAACCACTTTGTTTGTTCAAGCTTCCAAAACAATAACAGAATTTAGGGAATGTGAGTAACCATTTTTCTCCCTCTAAGTTCTCCCCCAGACTCTCTCTACACAGTTTAATCTTGTAACAAAATATGCCAAAGGAAGTTGTCTTCCCAGAATTCCCTGTCAGTGGGGGGAGGGCACTCTGGTTATGTTGGCAATGAAGGCTGTTGGAGTAGGGGCCCTGTTTAAGCTCTGAGTACGCCTGTTTAGATTCCAGGAATTCCCGTAAAGAGTTATACCTACCTCTGTGCTTGGACAAACACCAAAAGATTATGCATTAGAACCACACACAAAATATTTAGGGATTCTGTCAGGATGAAACCTGGCCAATAGCCATGTGGTAAGGTAGCACCTGAATAGTATTGAATTTGAAGCAATTAAAGAGTAACACCCTGAGTTTATGCACCTGAGGATGGTGTTAGTATTCACTGTTCTGCCTAGTAGGAAGAGCTTTTTAAGTCTGAACCCCGAGAAGCTAAAAACACTCACCTTGGAAGTTTCGGTCTCTTGGTTACTAATATTCTCAGAAGAAAGAACCTCTCAACCAACTCAAACGCTTACACATGGAGCCTCTCAGATGAGACTTAAGGGAGCATGCAATGCTATCTAGCCGGAAGAGCCCCTGTAACCATAGGAGCAAACAAGCCTTGTGTTTAAGCATTTGAAAGATACGAAACTGGCATAATGTCCAGTTAACTATGGATTAGCAAACACCCTGACCTGCAAGATGCTGTCAGAAAGATCACGGAAGGGTTCTTTGCAAAGATAGTGCCGATTGCCTCCCAAGTGTGAAAATGAGGAGAGGAGCTCACAAAATGCAGACTGTAAATGGAGCTTTTCTGTTCCAACCACCCAATCCCAAAAACTGAAGCAGGGGCTGTTTTTCAATTCAGGCACAATTCAGGCACAATTCAGTTCAAGCAAGTTCTCTTCTTTGGTTATAGCTTTCCAATATTCAAGTGAGTTTGTGAGGGCCAGTCATGATAATCTAAGTCTGGGCAAAACAAAAGTTCTTTACTTCCTCCAACCATTATCATCTGGGACTCTGGCTGTGGATAAATTTAAATGGAGTCTAGAGTTTACCCTGAGACAAGGCCTGGCAGGCGTGGAGATTACCTGACCCCACCCAAGAACAGACCATTCAAAGGAAATTCCTGGCATTCCAAGCACTGTAAATAGAAACACCTGCCAGCACTTCACCAGGACACCCCTAGACAAATGTCAGCCAATCAGGGGTCCTGAACCTCAGAGATCCCTCACCCCCACCTTTACTACTATAAAAACCCAATTCTAATTGAGCTTGGGGCTCTCCAGATATCCCAATACATTGAACATGCAGAGAGACCGAGTTTGCAAACTTGATTAAAATAAAGACTTTTTGCTTTTTCATATGGGACTTGGTCTCCTTTATTGGCTTTTATGGGGACCCACGGATTTGGACATAACAAGTTCAAAGGGAAACCAAATGAAGCAATGAAGTTAAAGCCTAAAACAGCACTTCAAGCACCTCTGAGCTAGAGTTAACATTGAACTAGATTAAGAGTGAGCAGAAACTCAGGGAAATTCACAAGATTAGGAGAGGCGGGACATTCATGCACTGGGGTGAGTGGAATTATGATGTCACTGGGTAGCCTTCAGTTGGTGCTCCCAAGAGTCCACTCAAGATCAAATTCAAGGTCTCGGACTTTCAGCCATGGGCATATTTAACTAGCGTGTGTTGACTGCAAAAGTGAGGTCCTACAAAGTATTGTTGGTATCCTCCCCTGAAGCTGTGTCCTATGGCAACACTTAGCACACCCTCCTGAGACAACTTTTAGTAAACAGGATGCTCATACGTGTTTCAGAACTCAGAAAGCCCATAGACCCAGAGCCCCTGTCCTTGTGGAAGCCTACTGTCCCTGTCCAAAACCACCTTCATGGCCTCTTTTTCTCCTGCTACCAGACACAAACCTCCTTGGAAATCACACATGAAGCCTGGCACACTTCTTTCTTACTGAACAGTTATATCAGTTTATCTTTGAAATTCAAGAAAAACAGGGTAGTGTATTTTTAATCAGAGAAAAGTATAGAGCTGAGTGGAAACTGCTTTCCAGGCCCAGGCCCGTTGGATGCAAAGGAGACCCACTTTTGAGGCAATCATCAATTTTACAAAAGTGAATACACACCGGGGTCAACATCAGGCCGACTGGATAATCAATCAGTCAAGGGGGCCATGCAGATTGTATGGAATTTACATGATCTGCAGAACTGGTCACGGAGAACAGAAGGTCACTGTATATTAACTGGATATATAGGACTCTGTTCAAGTGACTTTGACCACAAAGATGGCCATCTCAGCAGGGGGTGGGGAAGGAAAGGAATGAATGACTTTGACAAGTGTAATAAGAGAGGGAAAATATGCCAAGCCAAGCTGTCTTTGAGTCTTTAAAGATTTAAAATTTTATTTATTTATCATTTGGGGTGTGTGGGTGTACATGTGTACAGGTTTGTGTGGAGGTCAGAGGTACACCTTGGGTGTCGTTCCTAAAGAGCTGTCTAACCTTGTTTTCTGAGACAGGGTCTCTTACTGGCACCTGGCACTAGCCCATTAGACTAAATTGGGTGACTGCAATCCCTAGAGATATGCCCTGCCCCCACCAGGGATTCCAAGCACATGCCACTGTTAGGGATTAGGGATTGAACTCAAAACTTGATTGCCTGTCCAATACTTAACCAACTAAATTATCTCCTTCGGATCCCTGTATATATATTTTTTTTAGCTTTTTTTCCCCTCTACTGTGTTTTTTAAAGCCCTGTTTCAGGCCAGGGGGTGGCTCAGGGGGTAAAGTGTTTGCTGCATAGCCACAAGTGACTGCTTTTGGGCCTCCAGCACCTGAATAGAAGCTGGGTATTTGCAGTGCATGGCTGTCATATGAGCACTTGTAAAAAGAGATAGGAGACCTCAGGGGCCAGTCTAGCCCATCAGTGAGCTCAAGATGCTGTTTCAAAAAATAAGGTGGAAAGTAATTGAGGAAGACACTTAAAATCACGCTCTGGCTTCCATGTGCAGATTGTTGCCCCGAAAGACAGATGGCCCGAGGCTGCCCAGGACCTCAAATTGGGTGACTGTCAGGGAAGCCAGGTGTTTCCTGTCATCCCATGGTTTGGAAGTCGCCTGCTTACTGAGTTCCTATTGTTTCCATCATGGGTCTCTGAGAGAGTTAAGGATTTGATAGCTATAGTTCTAGTTTTTCAGAAAAAGAAAGCAAATTATGATACAAAGTCAATTAGGGAAAAGAATTGGAACCCAAATAAATAGGCTAGATGTAAAATCTTTTCTCTAAATTTGTCAAATGCAAACGAACTGGATGTTGTTGATGTATTTATTGCCTGTACATATTATATAAGCATATTACTAATAGCCTACTTTTTTCTTTAGACATAGTGTCATTCAGTAGTATTTTAACAAATAAAGATTACCTGAAGATCTGAGAGTCCCACGGATCAGCCTTAATGAGCAGATTTAGAAACACACACATTTAATCCCAGTAGCCACACCCTAACACACACTCTAATCCCATTGGTGCAGACCTTTAGTCCCACCCCTAGAGGAGAATATAAAAAGGCGTGGAGACCTCTCTCAGACACAGTCTCTCTCATTGTGAGATATCTGGAGGTAGCAAGCTGGACTTGGCAGCACGGACTAGCACAAAGCAAAGGAAGGAGAGGGTGGGCCGGACAAGCAGAAGTGTCAGTGGACTAGGTAGCCAAACGACCAGGAGTGAGCTTCGCATCATACCCTTTAGGCAAGCGCCTAACCCAAGCACCCAGCAAATAAACCCGAGTGGTTCTTGTCAGCTCAGATTCAGCAAACCCGGCCACAGCGGCTGCGAGAGGAGCCCTGGAGTCCAACTCCTTCGATTCTCAGGACCTGAAGATGGATGCACAGTCAGAACCGAAACTGGTGCTAAAAAGAACCACCAAGTTGTCTCTAAATGAGCGCTTTACTATGCTGCTGGAGAACAAACAGCCCACGCCAGTGACTATTCGGGCTTCGCTGCAGCAGCAGCAGGTAGCCAACGCCAGAAACAGAAGACTGGCCCAGCAGATGGAGAATAGACCCTCTGTTCGGGCAGCATCAAATTTGAGGCAGCGCCTGGGTAACAAGAGGAACATCCAGGCTCCCTTAGGCCTACCCAGAGGTGACCTGTCCAGGGGAGCGATTGGAGGACGAGGCCTGCCCAAAATCCAGGGAGGCTTTTGCCGAGGACGAGGAAGTGGAAGAGGAAGAGGAAGGGGAGGACTACGTGGGGGACTTGCCACCAGAAGCCTGCCAAGGGGCGGGTTGTCATTCCAAGGTCGAAGCCCACTCCTCCGAGGTGAACAAGACTTTACTGCCCCTCAAATGGACTCAAGAGGTGGTGCTGTTCCAGGTCCTGGAGGTCCTGGGAGAAGGGGCCGAGGGCATGCAGCTAGGGGTCGTGGTGGAATCGGTGGTAGAGGTCTGGCTGTGATAGGTTGGGGAAGAGGGAACTTTGGATGCCGTGGTCGAGGCAGAGGTGCCCGTACTAGCCCTGCATTGACCAAGGAGCAGCTGGACAAAGAACTGGATGCATATATGTCCAACACTAAAGCACGCCTGGATGCTGAGTTGGATGCTTACATGGCAGAGGCAGATTCTGAAACTGAGGCCTGCATGGATGCTGAGTTGGATGCCTACATGGCAGAGGCAAATTCTGAAACTGAAGCCTGCCTGGATGCTGAGATGGATGCCTACATGGCAGAGGCAGATACTGAAACTGAAGCCTGCCTGGATGCTGAGATGGATGCCTACATGGCAGAGGCAGATTCTGAAACTGAAGCCTGCCTGCCTGCCTCTTAGACTCTCGGGAAATCACCACAGCTGTGCCTATGAAGAAATAGCCTTGAGCACCCATGAGAAGGACCCTGACTGAGGCCGGAAGGACTCACACCATGGGTTGTGGACTCCCTTGCCACCAGTGGGTGCCTTTCGTCTGTTCTGTTTACCTTTCGATGCTCTGTGAAATAAACCCCATTTCCCCTTGATTCGGCTGAGTTTGTTTTGTTGTTTATCCAGTCACCCAGACTTGGGTTTAAGCAGGAATGCGTTGGCCCTGTGAGGAGAACTTTTTTCCAGTCTCTGCCTCACCTGCTGTATACGCCGATAGTTTAATATTTCTTCTAATCACATTTATGATCCCAGAAAGAGTTCCCAGAAGCAGCCAGAGTTCTCACTGATGTGAGCTCTCTGGGTTAGAGTTCTACACCTTCCTTAAGAGCTGTGTGCTCACAGCTAAACTGAAGGTGTGTGTGCTATGTTGATGGTGAAGGTGGTAATTTGGAAATGTTGATAGTGCTCCTGAGTCAGGACCGGCGTACACGTTGTGGCCACTTTGATTTAGTCTTTGACATTGCATAGGACATGCTGAGCTGGATGTGTAGAATTTCCACCCTAAAATAACATTTTTTAACTTTTTTGGCCTTTGTGTCGTTTCCAAGATATTTTTCACATTTAGTGAAAGAGAAGCCATTTGTGGTCGCCAAAGACACTCGGCTAGGAGAAGCTTTACAACCCAACTGCAGACATGCAGTTACCTATGTCCAGAACCAGTCTTGGTTCAATCTACAAAAATCGCTTTTTTTTTGAACCTCTTGAAGGTTTGATTTTAACAATAATTTGTCAGCTGTTCAGTTTCAGTGGAATCCATTTATCTGGCTCGTTATAACAAACTGTTGTCTCATTCAAAAAATTTATCAGCACCCAATCATTAGGAAGTAGCCTAGAAAACTATGCACATTTCTCCCCTCCACCCAAAAATGGATTATGGATGTTGGTTTTTGTGTAATGTGTTAGTTACAATTTATTATGGATAATGCTTAGGGAAAATCTAAACAAAGCATCTTTGGTTAGATCCAAAGTTTTTGTTTTGCAAAACAAAGCCTGGGCGTTGGTGGCAATCAATTTAACCCCTACACTTGGGAGGCAGAAGCAGGCTGGTCTTAATGAGTTCAAGGTCAGCCTGGTCTAGAGAGCAACTTCCCGGACAGGTTCTATTGCTACTCAGAAACCCTGGCTCAAAAACCCACAATGGTGAAATAGAAGGAGACAGAGAGAGAGAGAGAGAGAGAGAGAGAGAGAGAGAGAGAGAGAGAGAGAGACAGAGAGAGTAGAGAGATAAAATGAAAAAAAAATAAAAAAGATTATTGATCCAGTTTTTAGCACCTATTTGTTTTAAGTGTTTTGCAATTGGTTTAGTATTGTATACTGTATACAAATTTTGTATATTGATACAAACTTGAGGTCAATTTTAGTAAAACATGCTCTACATACATTTCCATTCTTGTGTGAGCTATTGTACCTCTACAGCTCATTTAATATAAATTAAAATAAATTTCTAGACTTTGAAAATTCTTATTGTCAATTAACTGTTTAATATAATAAAGAAATATAGGTTAGTAGTTAATCACCTAGTACAATTGAACTCAAAGTCGTCATACTAGGTATATTTTCAAGATGAAACAAAGGTAATTTAGAAGGATAGGTCATTTTCAAACACTTCAGAGATCTACAGAATATGGCAATTAAAATGTTTTAATAACCTTGGTTGTTCTCTGATGTGGGAAGGTCATATGTCTATCTGTTGCTTTCATTGAATAATTAATAAAGAAACTGCTTGGCCTGAAATGTCAGACGTAGGTGGGAGGAGTAGAGAGAACAGAACGCTGGGAAGAAGGGAAGTGAGCCTGACGCCATGCCTCTCCTCTCCAGGGCAGCCGCCACGGAGCCGGCCGCCAGGTCAGACGTGCTGAATCTTTCCCGGTAAGCAACCACATGGTGGTGCAACACAGATTATTAGAAATGGGTTAATCAAGATGTGAGATTAGGCAATAAGAGGCTAGAACTAACGGGCCAAGCAGTGTTTAATAGAATACAGTTTGTGTGTTGTTATTTCGGGGCATAAGCTGACCAGGCGGCTGAGATCCAGGCGGCAGGCTCGCAGCCCAGAGCTCCTTGTACTCTTCTCTTTGTTTTGTTTTTTTTTAAATCTATTTATTTATTTATTATGTATACAATATTCTGTCTGTGTGTATGCCTGCAGGCCAGAAGAAGCACCAGACCTCATTACAGATGGTTGTGAGCCACCATGTCATTGCTGGGAATTGAACTCAGAACCTTTGAATGCTCTTAACCACTGAGCCATCTCTCCAGCCCACTACACTTCTCTTTGTGACAATGAGACATGTCTGCTTCTTGCAGCTGCAATCTTCTTCAGAGAAGATAATGGACATGGAAGAAACTGCACATGGAGTTTACTTTCTCTGTGGCAAAAAGGAAGCCATCGGGCAAAATATGCCCTTGTCTCAACTGCTGACATGACATTGTCCTAAAGACAAGCAGGACACAGAATATCCTCCCTCACAGAAAAGCCTGTCGAATATGCTAGGCCTGAAGGCTGAAGATGAATGCCCCGATGCTACCAGAAACTCGGCTTGGGTTACTGTACGGGCAGACAGTTGTTTTCTGTCATTGCATGGTTTGGAAGTCGCCTGCTTGCACCTCCCGCTTACTCAGTTCCTGTTATTTCCTTCTTGGGTCTCTGAGGGAGTTGAGGATTTGATGGCTACAGCTCTAGTTTTCCAGAAAAAGAAAGCAAATTACGATAGAAAATCAATTAGGGAGAAAACTTTGAACCCAAATAGATAGGATAGAGGTGAAATCTTTCTCTGAATTTGTCAAACACAAATGGATGGGGCATTGTTGATGTATTTATTGCCTGTACTTATTGTATACACTCATATTCGTTATAGCCTTCTCTTTTCTCTTAGATAGAAAGTGGGAAAATAGTGACATTTCAATAGTATTTTAATAAATAGAGATTACCTAAAGATCTGAGAGTAAAAGAGTGCCATGGATCAGCCTAATGAGCAGATTTAGAAACCCACAATTTTAATCCCAGTAGCCACACCCTAACACACACTCTAATCCCATTGGTGCAGGCCTTTAGTCCCACCCCTAGAGGAGAATATAAAAAGGCGTGGAGACCTCTCTCAGACACAGTCTCTCTCATTGTGAGATATCTGGAGGTAGCAAGCTGGACTTGGCAGCACGGACTAGCACAAAGCAAAGGAAGGAGAGGGTGGGCCGGACAAGCAGAAGTGTCAGCGGACTAGGTAGCCAAGCGACCAGGAGTGAGCTTCGCATCATACCCTTTAGGCAAGCGCCTAACCCAAGCACCCAGCAAATAAACCCGAGTGGTTCTTGTCAGCTCAGATTCAGCAAACCCGGCCACAGCGGCCGCGAGAGGAGCCCTGGAGTCCAACTCCTTCGATTCTCAGGACCTGAAGATGGATGCACAGTCAGAACCGAAACTGGTGCTAAAAAGAACCACCAAGTTGTCTCTAAATGAGCGCTTTACTATGCTGCTGGAGAACAAACAGCCCACGCCAGTGACTATTCGGGCTTCGCTGCAGCAGCAGCAGGTAGCCAACGCCAGAAACAGAAGACTGGCCCAGCAGATGGAGAAGAGCCTCTGTTCGGGCAGCATCAAATTTGAGGCAGCGCCTGGGTAACAAGAGGAACATCCAGGCTCCCTTAGGCCTACCCAGAGGTGACCTGTCCAGGGGAGCGATTAGAGGACGAGGCCTGCCCAAAATCCAGGGAGGCTTTTGCCGAGGACGAGGAAGTGGAAGAGGAAGAGGAAGGGGAGGACTACGTGGGGGACTTGCCACCAGAAGCCTGCCAAGGGGCGGGTTGTCATTCCAAGGTCGAAGCCCACTCCTCCGAGGTGAACAAGACTTTACTGCCCCTCAAATGGACTCAAGAGGTGGTGCTGTTCCAGGTCCTGGAGGTCCTGGGAGAAGGGGCCGAGGGCATGCAGCTAGGGGTCGTGGTGGAATCGGTGGTAGAGGTCTGGCTGTGATAGGTTGGGGAAGAGGGAACTTTGGATGCCGTGGTCGAGGCAGTGGAGGTCGGGGAAGAGGGAACTTTGGATGCCGTGGTCGAGGCAGAGGTGCCCGCACTAGCCCTGCATTGACCAAGGAGCAGCTGGACAAAGAACTGGATGCATATATGTCCAACACTAAAGCACGCCTGGATGCTGAGTTGGATGCCTACATGGCAGAGGCAGATTCTGAAACTGAAGCCTGCCTGGATGCTGAGTTGGATGCCTACATGGCAGAGGCAGATACTGAAACTGAAGCCTGCCTGGATGCTGAGATGGATGCCTACATGGCAGAGGCAGATACTGAAACTGAAGCCTGCCTGGATGCTGAGATGGATGCCTACATGGCAGAGGCAGATTCTGACACTGAAGCCTGCCTGCCTGCCTCTTAGACTCTCGGGAAATCACCACCGCTGTGCCTATGAAGAAATAGCCTTGAGCACCCATGAGAAGGACCCTGACTGAGGCCGGAAGGACTCACACCATGGGTTGTGGACTCCCTTGCCACCAGTGGGTGCCTTTCGTCTGTTCTGTTTACCTTTCGATGCTCTGTGAAATAAACCCCATTTCCCCTTGATTCGGCTGAGTTTGTTTTGTTGTTTATCCAGTCACCCAGACTTGGGTTTAAGCAGGAATGCGTTGGCCCTGTGAGGAGAACTTTTTTCCAGTCTCTGCCTCACCTGCTGTATACGCCGATAGTTTAATATTTCTTCTAATCACATTTATGATCCCAGAAAGAGTTCCCAGAAGCAGCCAGAGTTCTCACTGATGTGAGCTCTCTGGGTTAGAGTTCTACACCTTCCTTAAGAGCTGTGTGCTCACAGCTAAACTGAAGGTGTGTGTGCTATGTTGATGGTGAAGGTGGTAATTTGGAAATGTTGATAGTGCTCCTGAGTCAGGACCGGCGTACACGTTGTAG